AGACTAAGGAGACAGCCGGTGATGGGAGCGCAATGTATGAGGGGATACATGCCTCAGGTTTAAAAGAGCAGGAAGCTGAGTGAGCAGCTAGAGAAAAAAGTGCCTTGCTAGAGGGAGGTTACAGGTGGTGGCTAGGAAAGAGCTCTGAGGCTGTAGTTGGGAAGTGGATCGACGAACTGTGTGAAAGGGACAGCTTGGGGGCCAGTTCGAGACTTTCAGAGGACCGGCAGGAATGTGCCTGCTGGCCCTAAGTGCTTCCTCCCCCTGGGGGGAGGCATCGTGAGGGACAGTTGCTCGCAGGCTCCACTGAATGCTGAACTGCAGAGGTCCAACTCCACGTATGGATCTAGGGAATGAGAATTCAGCCACAGAGGCTGCTGCGATCATAGACCTCGATCCAGACTTCGAACCCCAGAGCCGTCCCCGGTCCTGCACCTGGCCCCTTCCCCGACCAGAGCTTGCCTCTGAACCGCCTGAACCTCCAGAGCCTCCCAAAGTGGAGCCAGTTCAGGGAGAAAAGGTACACACGGAGGGGCACTCAGACCTGATCCTGTTGCCCTCCCGGCTGGCAGGGGGGCCCCAGCCTGGGGTCCTGGGGGCTGTAACAGCCCCTCGGAAGGGAAGCTCCCGCAGGAATGCCTGGGGAAACCAGTCATATGCAGAACTCATCAGCCAGGCCATCGAAAGCGCCCCGGAGAAGCGACTGACACTGTCCCAGATCTATGAGTGGATGGTCCGCACTGTGCCCTACTTCAAAGACAAGGGTGACAGCAACAGTTCAGCAGGATGGAAGGTAACTATGGCCACCTACTTCAATCTCAGTGCCACCTCCCGTGGGCCCCTATCTAACTTACTTCTACTCTCGAACGCCTTTTACCATCTCCCACCCCTGGCAAGCCCAGATATCTACCTTCATTCTTTAGTTACCATAGGTTCCCAAACTTATTTGGTTTCCCCCTCCCCTTTCAGAAAAAAAAATTACCCAGTGGCCACCTGGTAATTAAAAACTTTTGTACAATAGTTCATAATACAGGATAAAGTGTACTAAAACAAACCCAGAATATAACTGCCTCTGGGTTTTGAAAACTAAATCTTTCTGGGAGTAGAAAACCTCATCTTTCTCCCGCAGGCGGCTGGTGGTTTCGAACAAGAGGCTTTGCAGTTAGCTTCCCAGCACAATACCAACCCACTCTGCGACCAGGGATCCAAGCATTTTTAAAGTATGTAATATATGTGCCATACTCTGCTTGATGCTGGAGAATCACAGAAGAGTTAGATATTACCCCTGCCCTGGGGCAAAATTGAATTCTCTGCTTGTTGCTCCAGCACTTTGACTTGGGCTGTCCCCGACACTTAGTCCTACAGAGAAGCCTTTTTATCCCATGTACAGCAGGGAATTATGTGGATTCTCCACATGACTTTAGCCTCCCCTCCTTGCCCACCTCCCACCTCAACACCTTTTCTCCCATTCCTGAGGGATTAGTTGGATTCCCTGCTTGCTCCCAGCACCTCTGTGTAGAGGTATTTTCCAGGGCTGCTCTGATCAAGTGGAGTAACAAAGAGCAAGAAGAGTTCATAGGGTAAAGTAGTGACTCTCTGCACTAAGCAGAAAAATGGCTGTGTGGTATGCGGCCTGCCTCGGTTTGCCCTATAATGCCAAAACGTTCTTCCTTGTATGAGGTTATTCAAATTTTTGCAGAATCTCTATTGACTGCTGAGGAATCCTCATCCCGATAAAAGATATCGAGCTCTAAGTTTAGAGTACTTTTCATAGCTTTCTTCGAAGAAACTAACAAGAAACATCTCACAAAATGATTCAAATTTTCCCCTAAGAAATATCTATTAATAAAATTAATAGGGTTCTAGTAATAGGAGCCCCAGTGGTGCAAATGGTTAAGCACTGGACTACTAACTGAGAAGTTGACTGTTGCACTTAGAGGCAGCCTGGAAGGAAGAAACACCTGGTGATCTGCGTTCCAAAAGGTTGCTATCATGAAAATGCTATACAAATAGGGTTGCCATGAGTTGGGATCTACCTGATGACAACGTGTTTGCGTATTTTTAATCACAAAATGGGGGGTGCCTGCTATGAGTCTAAAAATCAGGAGAGATTGGAGAAAGCCTCATAACAGAAGAAATTGGGAATGTCTACCTGGTTGTGTGCTTAATTTACTCCCGTACCACCAGGGGCTGGCACTCACTTAAAACAAGAAAACTCCCCCCTATCATGAGCCCGCTTCTACCTTACAATCTGGCTAGACCAGACGATGTACACTGGTACAGATAGGAACTGGAAACACAGGGAATCCAGAACGGATGATCCCTTCAGGACCAGTGGTGAGAATGGCGATACCAGGAGGATGAGGGAGGGTGGGGTGGAAAGGGGGAACCGATTATAAGGATCTCCATATAACATCCTCCCTGGGGGATGGGCAACAGAAAAGTGGGTGAAGGGAGACATCGGACAGTGTAAGATATGACAAAATAATATTAATTTATAAATTATCAAGGGTTCATGAGGGAGGGGGAGCGGGGAGGGAGGGGAAAAAATGAGGAGCTGATCCCAAGGGCTCAAGTAGAAATCAGATGTTTTGAGAATAATAAGGGCAACAAATGTGCTTGACACAATGGATGAATGTATGGATTGTGATTAGAGTTGTATGGGCCCCCAGTAAAAATATTTTTTAAAAAAGAACTAGAAAACTTAGGCTAGGTGGCTTAGGGAGCAATAAGCAGCCACTTCTTCCAACATGTAAGAATTGTAGGGTTCTAGGGATCTGACCTCTTAGAACTAGGCCACACCATTTACTAATTCTGGGCCTTATGGATATTAAGTAGTACGGAGGGAAATGGGCCTTCTCAGTAGACCCAGGAATTAGAGGATAAAGAAGAGGAAATAGGGGCACCAGAAGTCACTGTGGTCCTCAGTTGCTAGGAGCCCTAGGTAGGTGGACGACAAGTGTGAGGCTTTGGAGAAGCTAGAATATCAATACAGCAGAGTAGTTGGAGTGACAGTGCAGCCAGGTCCCAGATAGAGCAGGAACTCTGCCTAAAACCAAAGCCAAACTCAGTGCCATCAAATGGGTTCCAACTCTTAGCTACCCTATGGGCAGAGTAGATCTGTGCCAGTGGGTTTTTGAGGCTGTAAATCTTTACAGGAGCAGAAACCCTGGGCTTTGGTTAAAGAGCTCAGAAGCTAGAAGCTGCTTAACTCTCTTTCCTCAGGCAAAGGGTCTTCTTATCTAGAACATCAGTCCGAGAAACTTTAAACTGGCCAGGGCCTCAGCCACTTAATTGCTCCAAGCCTTTTTCCGGCTCCTGAAGAGTTTCTGAATTCTAAAGAGGTCAAATGCCCCTAATGTTAGAGAATTTTTGTACAAATTCCTGAGGAGAGTAGTGGGGGGAGGGGAGGCAGTAGAAGTATAACTAGCCTGAGGCAACCAGTGGAAATAAACTGCTTCAGGAACTCAAGAAGCTGCTGATCTTGTCCCCTGGAGCCCCTGGAATAAAATTGATCTCTAGCAGAGTATGATTCCATTAGTGAAAGAGGAAGGGAAGATACTCAGCTTTTCAATACCCAAACGCTCAAGAGCTGACAGAACCTCACGTGGAGCCTCATTGTACTCAGAGGCCACGCACTAATCAGGCAACACATATTGATGAGTTTGTACAATGAGCTTGGCACTCTGAGGCACCATTGGGGGCTGCAAGATGGAGGACATGATCCCTTGGTTCTTGGTGCTTACAGTTGATAAGAGTAATTCCACAAAACTGGAAGCAATGCAATATATAAACTAGGTAAAATTATGTGGAGCAGATTACAAATACTGTAGGAGAAAGTAGGCTGTCGAAGTGGACCACTTTATCAAAGAGGCGGGATTTATGTTGGATCCTACTGAGTTTGTGGAATTTAAAGTGAAGGAGAGCCTCCCCAGGAAAAGGAGGGAAGGGAGATATGCCCCTATTGTGTTTTAGGCACCTGGAGAAGCCAGCTCTGACTATAATTGAGGGTGTGTGTCAGCCGATTGGAAAAAATAAGGTTGGCCTTCAGATGGAAGGAATCTTCAAATCTGATAAGAGCTGGGGCCCAAATGCCCTAAGGCAGGGGGCCCTCAAACTACGGTCCTCTGGCCACATGCAGCCCGCCGAGGACATTTATCCGGCCCGCGGGTTTTTGCCCCTTGTGTTTTTTACTTCAAAATAAGATAGGTGCAGTATGCATAGGAATTTGTTCATAGTTGTTTTAAACTATAGTCCGGCCCTCCAGCGGGTCTGAGAGACAGTGAACTGGCCCCTGTTTAAAAAGTTTGAGGACCCCTGCTAAGGGGAATGAAGCCCCAGCAAGCTGAGGTGAAGGCCCCTCCGCCTTTGGAGAGAATTGACTCCGGCCAGGGCGATCAGTGAGGAGCAAGTAGGTATCGCACCACAGTCCAGTCAACTCCACCCAAGCCTGAACTCAAGGAAGAGGGTAGAGTTGTCGAAGGTGCTTTTCCCACCTGAGTCTAGTGGTTGCTGGATCAGAGGTGTGCCTCCCCACACCCACCAGCTCCAGACAGCCCCCAGAGACTTGAGAGGTATAGGGTCCTGTGAGCTTTTCCTGGAAGAGCACAGTCCCCTCTGTAGCAGGAGGGTTAATGGGGCTTTCGCCTAGACCGCCCCCCCCCCAGCCCCAGCAGCTTATCTTAGGGCAGTGGTTCTCACCCTTCCTAATGCTGCCACCCTTGAATACAGTTCCTCATGTCGTGCTGACCCCCAACCATAACATTATTTTCATGGCTGCTTCATAACTGTGATTTTGCTACTGTTATGAATCAGGCGACCCCTGTGAAAGGGTCATTTGACCCCCCAAGGGGGTCATGGCCCACAGGTTGAGAACCGCTGTCTTTGGGGTAAGCGCTGTGTGTTACCTTCCTCACCTCATGCCCCACCCCACTTGCCTCTGCCCATTTCTTTTCCCCCTGAGATTTTGCTTGCTTTGCCTCCCTAGAAACACCCATGCTGTGTGCCGGCATCCTTTTAGACTGGCTTGCTGACCAATGACCTCCTGCCCACAGACCTCATACCCCTTTCCTGTTGCCTCTTGCCCCTCCAGAACTCCATCCGCCACAACCTGTCCCTGCACAGCAAGTTCATCAAGGTTCACAATGAGGCAACCGGCAAGAGCTCTTGGTGGATGCTGAATCCTGAGGGCGGCAAAAGTGGCAAGGCCCCTCGCCGCCGGGCAGCCTCTATGGATAGCAGCAACAAGCTGCTCAGGGGCCGCAGCAAAACCTCCAAGAAGAAGCCAACTGTGCTGCCAGCTCCACGGGAAGGTGCCACTCCGACCAGCCCTCTTGGCCATTTTGCCAAGTGGTCAGGCAGCCCTTGTTCTAGAAACCGTGAAGAAGTAGATGTGTGGACCACCTTCCGTCCGCGAAGCAATTCCAACGCTAGCACTATCAGCACCCGGCTGTCCCCCATGAGGCCAGAGCCTGAGGTGCTGACAGAAGAGGAAATACCAGCCTCAGTCAGCAGCTATGCAGGGGGCGTCCCTCCCAACCAAAATGAAGATCTAGAGCTGTTAGATGGGCTCAACCTCTCCTCTTCCCATTCCCTCTTATCTCGGAATAGTCTCTCTGGTTTCTCTTTGCAGCATTCTGGGTTTACCAGCCCGCTACATAACTACACCTCCCTCTTCAGCCCAGCAGAGGGGCCCCTGTCAACAGAAGGGTGCTTCTCAAGCTCCCAATCGCTGGAGGCTCTGCTCACCTCTGATACGCCCCCCCCTCCTGCTGATGTCCTCATGACCCAGGTAGATCCCATCCTGTCCCAGGCTCCAACACTTCAGTTGCTGAGAGGGATACCTTCCTCCAGTAAGGTAGCGACAGGACTAGGTGCCAAGGCCCTAGAGGTTCCAGGCCCCAGTAGTCTGGTTCCCTCCCTTTCGACTTTAGGGCCATCTCTTGCCATGGCGGGGGTTCCCATCCCCCAAAACCTCGGTACTTCTGTGCTCACACCCCCTACTGAAGCTGCAAGCCAAGACAGAATGCCTCGGGATCTCGATTTTGACATGTACATGGAGAACCTGGAGTGTGACATGGATAATATCATCAGTGACCTCATGGATGGGGGTGAGGGACTGGACTTCAACTTTGAGCCAGGTACAGTACTCCCTAACCACTCTAGCCAATCACAACCTTCTGTCCACTCCTAGGCGCCCAACTATTCCATAGGCTGAGCACAGGGGAAATGTAGAACAATGGGTCGCTCAAACTCATATTCGAGTGGCATAGTTTACAGATAGGATCTCTATGTCCCACATCAGTGTCTACCCCTACAAGCTAGCCCAGAAGGGGTGGGGTAGGCTAGGGAGAGGTCTCTGGTAGGCTAGGGAGAGGTCTCTGTTTCCCCGGGTGATGGAGAGTTATCATGCCCCAGGTGAATTTCTTACCTTTTCACTCTTTCTTCTTCCCACAGATCCCTGAGCCACAACTAGGAAGCAGCTTTCTCCACTGTTTCAGAAGTGGAGCCAGGCTGCCTATATTCACTCTTTACCCTTGATCCCTCCTCAGCGTTTGGCACCCTGCTTTAGAACTAAGGTGGGGTCTAGTCACATACAGGTATTGAAGAAATTGTGAAGATAAAGCTGCCCTATCTGAGGACTATGGGAAGGAGTGGAGGGGTGAGAGTGGGGTGAAAAGGAAGAGGGTTTATTCTCACTGTGCCAATTAAGGGGTAAGGCCCCCTCTGGGACCCATCCTTATCTCCCCCCATTCCCTCCTCTAGGCTTTGTGGGCAATGCTGTTGGAAATGTGAAGTCACCAGTGGCCTTACTCCTGCCTTTGAGAGCAGGGTTTTTTCATAAAGAGTCTTACCTGTTCTGGGCCAGAAGAGGTTGAGCCTGGAATTTTATGCTGTGCCCCCCCCCTAGGCCTGTGGCACATGGTGGGGAGTTAGAGGAGATATAGAAGGGCCAAGACCTGCACACTGGAGTAGTTAGCTAAATCTCCTCTTGGAAGGCTGAAGATAACAGAAAGGCTTTTTTATAAACTTTTAAAGAACTATAAACACAAATATAGACATTTTTCACAGTGGCAAGGTGCTTTTCTTTCTGAAGGCTTTGTTATAATGATATGATGCAAACACTACAAACAATTCTAGGGACACAAGGGAGAAATAGGGGCGAGAACTTAAGGCCGACAGAAAACTTAAGGGAAACAGAAGGGAAGTGTTGGGAGCAATAATGAATAAAGAACTTTCCATTGGGCCAGGTCTTTAGGAAAAGATCTGTGCAGAAATCGGTTGGAGTTTCCCTAAGAAAAAGGCTAAGCCAGATCCCCTCACTCTGTCAACTTGTGCCTGGGAGTAAGTGGTGCTGATCTGCTCTTTTTGACCCAGTAAGGGTTCGTGCTACTGTGGGAGAGTACACTGAAAGCCTGGAATTAGTGAAGAGCCTGAGAAGGGGGTGGAGTGGGAGAGGGGAATGAGGAAAGGACTTAGGGTAACAAAGTACAGAGACCTCTCTGTTCAAGGTCTCTGACAGCTGTCCCTGCTCTTTGTCCCTCTCCTTGACTACAGGGGTTATGTGGAAGCATGTACAATGGCAGTGAGGGGAGAACCAGGGAATGGGGAGCTGGGAGGTTGGCTGAAGGTCTGGGAAAGGAGCAGGGATGGAAAGGAATGTGGATCAGGTTTACTAGCACCTGCCAGGGAGGCCATCTGGGACTCCCTCCTCACCCCAGCCACCAAAGCACAGCCCTCCCCCCCACCCCCCACCCAGTCCTCTTTGCATTTTCCCCTTCCCTTGGCCCTGCTGTGGGTTTTGGTCATTTCCTGTATCAGAGCCTGGCCTACTCAGATTGTATCAAGTGCTAGATTGGAGTGGGCAAGTGTGTTAAATCAATAAATGAATACATTCAATAAATGCTTATAACCAGTCTGATTTCTGCTGCCTTGCTGTTTTCTAGGATAAGGGGAAGGAGGAAAGAAAGGTAAAAGATCCTTGGGGGGTGGGGGGTGGAGAAACTGCCCAGAGGCAAGGAGGTGGAAAGTGGAAGAATTTTAGAAGGGGGAGGTGGGGGAGCGTGGTGTGGGAAGGGAAGAAGCCTATCAGACACCTAAGCCCAGCAGGAGTAGATGAGCTGTGAGATAAGCTTTGCAAGGGGAGGTCGTGTCGTTTGAGAGAGCTCTACTCACTATTCCAACCCTTCAAGGCTCATTGGACAAAAACTTCACAGTCTTCCCTCACCCCTACCCAGGTACTCTGGGGCCTCTGCCCACCCTCTGAGCTTCCACAGTGCCTCGGGCTATTTAAACCTTGGTGCAGATCTTGGGGAAAGGAATCTTTCTAGAAAAAGGAAACTCATTAAATCCCAATAACTTTATACCAAATGTTAGTGCTCTCACTTGGTCCGTTTATTTAGTCAATGATGTTTATCCCTCTTGAGGAAATCTGCTCTGGTCTTAAAGAGTGGACTCCTCCGCGTGGTAGGAGTACTCTCTTCTTCTGATCGTCCTGATTTAGACTGGAAAGGGAAAGGGTGGGTAAGCATAGAAGCCCCTGCAGGAAACATTTCTTAGAATATGAGCCAAAGGAAGGATAAAAGGTTGGGGGCAGGTCTTGGCCATGAATGTTGAGTTCAGAAAGAAAATTCATCTTGGGGGGTGGGGGTAGATAAGTAGAGGAACTTTCAGTTGGCCGGTGGGGGTGGGGACGGGGATACTGGGACAAAAGTTGTTTGAGGAGTCTTACTGGAAGATTTGCAGTGGATTCGATTGGAATGACCTTCTTGGCTTCTTGGATTCTAATCATCTTCACCCGGTTCTTCTCTAGGAGGTCACATTGTGCCCGCAGTACCTCTAGGGAACAGGAAAAGGCACCCAAATCTCTGAGGACTAAGATCTTAACCTGTCCCATTCCTCCCCATTATTCAAACTATTCCTTGGAATAACCCTCTCCGAAGGCTAGGTTGAAGAGCCATCTGAAGGTGCCTATATTTTGTTTTTTGGGTTTTTTTAAATCAGCAGTACGTTTATTTTTTATTTTACTAGATCACATTATTGGGGGCTCTTACAGCACTTATAACAATCCATACATCAATTTTAGCAAGCACATTAGTACATATGTTGCCATCATTTCCAAAACATTTTCTTTCTACTTGAGCCCCCGCCCCCCTTGGTATCAGCTCCTCTTTTTTCCCCTCCCTCCCCTATTTTGGTCTTTTCAGTGAAAAGTGGAAACTAAGATGGGGGAGGGGGGAATGATGGGGTGATGATACAAAGATATTCTAAAATTGGCTAAGAAATTGGGGTGGGGGTTGAGAGGTAAGTGACATTTGCACAGGCCATCTGGTTTGAGCTCCTAAAGTGGACCTAGATCCTGTTCTCCTTTTCCCAGGATGCTGTGGGCCTACCTAGTGTTTCACAAGCCCTACCCCATATTCTCCATCACACATCTCCCCTCTATACTCCCATGTTCTCCCTCAATCAATCTCCTTACCAAGTAGCTCAGGGTCTGGATTCTTCAGAAGAGGCACGAAATTTTTGTAGGCATTCTCAAGTCGGGTTCCTGTAAACACAACAATGTACTACCCCTAGTCCCTGCTTCTACTTAGCCAAGACCCAAAATTTCAGGACCCTAACATTAAACACTACCTTGAGTTGGTATACCTTACCCCCCCGCCCAATTAGGGACATCGCTAGAATGAGATGAGGTGACATGGTATATGTAAACCTAACCGATTGTCATAGAGGCAGTGCCCTCAAGCTAAGTAAAAACCAAAACCTATGGGCCTTGAGTCAATTCCAACTCATTGCAACCCCATATAGGGTTTCCAAGATTGAAAATCTTTATGGGAATAGACAGCCTCATCTTTCTCCCACAGAGCAGTTGGAAAATTTCAACCACCAACCTTGCAGTTGGCATCCCAATGCCTACCCACCCCCAGCAGCACCAGAGATGGTCAATTTGGATCTGGTTGAGGATGCTCAATTTTAAGGGTAGGATTCATGATTAAGAGCTTTTAATCTTTTCTCTATATCTAGTAAATGCGCCCCAGAATCTACCTGGTGCTCCACGATCCACCCTACAAATGTAGTAGGTGTTTCGGGCCGTAAGGAATTTGCTGGCATAGTCTCCAGGGGTCTTTGTCAGGAAAAGAAACTTCATTGTCCCCATTTCATCACACAAATCGATGGTTTCTGGGGGGGAGGCCACAGGGTAATTGGGGCAGCTAAGGAAAGAGTGAGAATAAAAGGGACCAGTGATCCTATATAGATAGAATGGGCTAGAGAAAATAGTGGGGATATGAGGAGCTCCTTTCTTTCCAGGAAGGGGGTTTGGGGGTCTGGGGATGACTTAACTACTCCTGACTTTTTAGCTATTGGTCGTTTCCCCAAATCCCTCACCTGTTTTAGATAACCCCATTTTATGACGGATGTAATGCAATAACAGGAGGACTGAGCAATTGGTATTGAGCAGAAACTGCTGATTATCTGAAAAGAGATGGAATGGAGTGTGTGGACCTCTTTCTGTAATATATAATCCCTTAAATCTCACCACCCTCCTATACAGATTCCAGCTGTATGGTGCTCCTTGCCTCCATGTTTGATGAAGACGAACATGCTTTCAAAATTGTCTGAATCTCCAGGTCTCCCTCATGTTGAAGTAGGCTGTTCTAGAGGTCTTGGGGGTTGAAGTGTGCCCATGGGGCTGGGGGATAGAGGCCTAGATGGCTCCCATATTCTGAGGAGACCCCTACTGGGCATACAGAAGGAAACTAATGGCAGTTATAGATACTCAGCAACCTTAGGGGTGGGGTCTGAGGCTGAAAATGAGGGATTATGAGGTCAGAAGTGGTATGTGTGGCAAGGGGTAGAGGAAGGATAAGAAGATAAGAACTTGGGTTGATTTACAAAAGATTGTGGGGAGATGGAGGCAATATGGTAAATTAAATCTAAATTGGACCCTGGAGTGACTGCAGAACCCTTAGAGCAAAGCGAGTTTCTCATTCATTTGGTAGCTCTGAAAGTCCTCCCACAATGTGAGCGTACAACTGCTCCCTTTGCCTTCCCTCAGGACCATGCCTCCCACCCTTATTGCACCCCAGGCTTCCCCTGATCCCTGTCCCCGTGACAGACATTCTTTTACAAAACCACTTTTTCATTTTTATTTGTGTGTGTGTGTGTGAACATGACAGAAATCCTTGTCATTTTCCACAAGAACTTTATTTCTCATTGATTCAGGAGCAATTGAAGCGGAAATAGGGACGGTGAGGAAGGGACAATGGAAGGGACAATCCAGAGCAAAGGACAGAGCTTCTGGGGAAGATAGGAAACAGGTACACGGCAGAGGGACAGTTCTCAAGGGTAATTAAATGAAGGGGTGGTGGTGTAAGGTATAAGATTCAAAATCAGCCACAAAAGGAGGAGATGAACAATGACCCCAAACTAACTGGATGAAAAGTTAGTAGAAGGTGGAGCTATCTGCCCCTGGGGTTCTGTCAGGTTATCAGGACTCAGGTTTCAAGGTGTAGCACGGCGGCGCAGGGGCAGCGCGAGCAATGGGAACAATGCTGGCTGTTGGGGGAGCCTCCAGGCTCCTCCTCTAGGGCTCTTCCTTTGGTGGAATTTCACTGACGTGGCAGAGCCTTTCACTGTAGTCTGGCTGCAGACTCTCAGCCAGTCCCTTAGACACACCACTCCAGGCCTAAAGATAAATATTTGCAAATCAGAGATCAATTAGGAGCAAGAAGTAAAAACACGGGCTCTGTGCCCCGAGGGATCTCATAGCATCTGCAACTGCTGTGATGACTGAAGGACACCGACCTCTGGGCCTCCAATACCACTGTTTCCATCTGCCTCACCCAATCTAGAATCCGTTCTTCCGGGTGTCTTTGTCTAGCCCATTGCCCATTTGGTTGGCCACATCCTGACAGTTAATTCACCCTCCCCGCTTCCCACCGCACCACCCCCACCACCCCCACCCGCCCTCTTCCTCCCCTCAAATGTCTGTCTTGCCAGCAGGCCTTCAGCAATTGACAGTGCAATCTCCTTATGGTAAAGTTCTCACCGAAAAGTTCCCGTGATATTCGGTAACCAGGTCCTCAAGGTTCTTAAGGGTAGGAATTGGGGGCATTGCCCTAAGTGAGGAAAAGAAAAGAAAACTAAAGAGCATATTATTTATGTTCTTTTATGACCCTTCTCCTAGATCCCTAGTATAGAATGAAGTGATTCCATGTTCTCCGTGCATATAGTTTCCTCCCATTATTGTACCCTATTGGCTGATCCCTCCCTACTCCCGGAGCCCTTGTTCTACTATTTCCAACCACTCTCCCCTCATTTTCCTGGGCTTACCCAAATCTTACCTTTCCAACCAGCAATACACAAAGATGAAGCTAATAATGAAGCCCATGGAGCCCAGGGGGATAAGCACAGCTTCCAGTGCAAACAATGAAGACGTCTCTATAGAAAAGAGGGGGAGAGAGGAAAGGAAAAGAAATCGAATATTTGTGGTGCCTCTACTATGTGACAAAATCTGTAGAACTCCAGCTTGGTGTTGGCACTGTGCTAAACACTTTCTGTATTCTTAATCCTCACACTACCACTTATTCCCAACTTGAAAGAGGGGGAAACAGAACGGAAAAGTTTAGTAATATGCCCAAGGTCAAAGCAACAGAGTAAGGTTTCAGACTTACATCAGTTTGGTTCCAAAGTCATCTTTACTATGCAGGCTCTCTGGGAATATACAGGGAAATCATTTATATGATATAGCCCCCATGAGTATTATTCTGCCTCCTTCTTAACTCTATCCATTCCTTTACCCTAATCATACACTGACCCAGCCATATGCATTAAGACATTGCTTTGCAAAGCTGATGGTGCCCGGCTATCAAAAAGTATAGCGTCTGGGGTCTTAAAGGCTTGAAGGTAATCAAGCGGCCATCAAGCTCAGAAGCAATAAAGCCCACATGGAAGAAGCACACCAGCCTATGCAACCACGAGGTGTCGAAGGGATCAGGTGTAAGGCATCTTCTGAGCAAAAAATCTTACCATAGTGAATGATGGGGGGAGTGCGGAGTGGAGAACCAAAGCCCATTAGTAGGCCACTGGAGATCCCCTTGCAGAGGGGTCTCAGTGAGGAGATGAGCCAGTCAGGGGGTGATGTAACAATGATGAGAAATACAACTTTCCTCTAGTTCCTAAATGTTTCCTCCCCGCTCCCACTACCATGACTCGAATTCTATCTTCCAAGACTGGCTAGACCAGAGGAGGTACACTGGTACAGATAGGAACTGAAAATACAGGGAATCCAGGATGGATGAGCCCTATAGGACGAGTGGTGTGAGTGGCAAAACAGGGAGGGTAAAGGGAGAATGGGTAGGAAAGAGGGAACCGATTACATGGAACTGTGTGTGACCTCCTCCCTGGGGGACAGACAACCGAAAAGTGGATGAAGGGAGACGTCGGACAGGGCAAGATATGACAAAATACCCATTTATAAACTATCAAGGGCTCATGCGGGAGGGGGGTGCGGGGAGGGAGGGGAAAAATGAGGACCTAATGTCGGGGGTTTAAATGGAGAGAAAATGTTTTGAGAAACGATGTACAAATGCGCTTTACACAATTGATGTGTGTATGGATTGGGATAACAGTTGTATGAGCCCCTAATAAAATGTTTAAAAAAAAGACATTGCTTTGCTTCCTGTGTGATGGGGATAAATAGTAAAATGAGATGGGGCACCAAGTTTCGTGGGGGTTCAGGATAGAGAGGTAGAGCAAAGGACACTGGTGTTAGAAAGGTGGACAGTGTTGGGTTTGTGGATTGGGGTTATGTATTAGGTCTGGCTTACCCTTTGATGTATTGCTCCCCCAGTGGATTGGGTGGCTCCATTCACTCCAGTGTTGAGCACTGCCACAGAGTGGGTTATAACGGCTCTGAACTCGGAATGTGTAGAATTTCTGCCCATCCACACTTGGCAAAGAGAAACTATGTCTGTGCTCCACCGATTGTTCCTTAGGGAGAAAGGGTCAGAGAAAAATCAGGCAGAATTGTAAAATATTGCCTACCCAATGTCATTTTCTGGTTCTTCCCAGTTCCTCCCTCCTATCTTGCCGACTCGAGTCCGACTGCGCCCTTCACTGACTTGTATCTAATGCCTCTCCTCCACATCCCTTTAAAGGCTTTCTTTTGGTTTACTTGTCTCTTTGGTATTTGGGAGAATATGGGTAGGAAAAGCCTAACAAACATCATTAATAAGGACCAGAAAAGGAATTCAGGGATGATGGGGATAGGCTTGAGATCAGTAGACAGAGAAACTTGAAGGCAGAGGAATAGAAGCTTCAAATTAGACTGTCCTATCTAGCTGGTTAAGTCAATTATCCCCCACTTGCTTGGCCTAAGCTGCTGCATTCATTTCCCTAGTCACTCACAGTCCAGCTGCGGTCCCGGTCACTCCGGTACTGCACCATATGTTCCAAACAGTGGTCCAAGTATCTGTTGTCCCAGCTCAGCTCAAGTTGGGATTCTCTCAGGTTGTGAAGTGTTAGATTTTCTGGAGCCCAGGGGATTACTGGAGATAATATGTGCATGTGTGGTCATTCCCTAGCCTTGACAAGCCAGAATCCTGGAAATAGTACCTCTTATCCCTCCTCCCAACCATTTCTCAAACCTGCTTCTTTGCCTATCCCAATCTCCCACCTCCTCCTTTTTGCCCAAGTAGCCTTATGGTAAAAGAGTTCCACTCCATATACCACCCCACCCCCCCAAAAAAAAACACAGTCATTGAGTCAATTGTGACTCATAGTGACCCTGTAGAAGTGTTCTTTTGGGTTACCAAGATTGTAAATTTTTACAGGAACAGCCTCATCTTTCTCCCAAAGGGCAGCAGGTGGATTTGAATCACTGACCTTTCAGTTAGCAGCCCAATGCTTAGACCACTGGGACTCCCTCCAGATACTTCACTGCCTGACAATATCTCTAGACTCTTGACCCCTTCTTTCCAAATACCCAGATCCTGAAGCTTTAGTGTCTTCTCAGCCTTCCTCTTGGAATTCCTTGGGTCCTGGAGCCGGATGACAAATGTTTGGTAGAGAATGATCTCCTTTTTTTCAAACCAACAGCCAGAAGTGATATCTTCAGAGAATAGATAGTGGCCACATTCGCGAGCCTCCTCATTATCAGAATTCTTATACCTAGAGAAGAGAGAAAGAGGCATAGTGGAATAGACTTATATACTACAGATGTCCACAACCCCACTTCATTTTCTCTTAACTGATTTAGGATGTTACACCAGGAGAAAGTAAGGGGAAGCTGGAATGCTGGCTATTCTCTTTCGTGACCCCCATGTAGTTGTTCTTATCAAACCCACCTCCTCTTTCTCCCAGGTACTAACCCTTCTTCCCTTCTCTTACCAATGGTGCAGAGTCAAGTTGGTAGGCCGGGGTTCAGAGCTGCTGTTCCAAGTGCAGTTCATGTATTCGACATTGAACACAAAACACTGAACCTCTGGGAGGGGAAGAACTGGAGCACTGATGGACCCAGGGGTCATAGAGGTTGGAAAGAAATCTAGGTTTTGGGGGAAATGAAGTAGGGGAGGGGAAGAGAAGAAATGATGGTTAGAGGAAGGAGCAGCATGTGGCAAGGAACCCATCCCCCTGCCCTCCCTATTCTGCTCTTAAGTTCTGCCCACATTATCTAGCGACAGGACTCAGATTTCTGTACAGCTTTTCTCATTACCCCCGCCCCGCTCCAAGCCCAAGTTCCCCACCAGCTGTGATGTCTTCATTCCTGTTGGGCTTGAGGGCCATCAGGTCCAGCCCCACCCCCAAAAGAGGCAGCTGCAGGAATAAGAAGAGTCTGAGTAGCAATAATGGCTTCAACATGGCGATTGCTCTTCATTCCCTGGGTGTAGTCTGTACCAGGAACCTGAGCCCCTCACCCATTACTCCTCCCCACCCACGCATTTCCTTCTGTCATAGTTTCCGGTGGAAAGAACCCTTGAGACTAGGGGTTTACAGAGGGTGTGGCAAATGTGTACTGTTACAAAGGCTAAGTCCCCAGGGAGTTTAGGTGCCATACTGCCACAGACTAAGAGACTCCTCAGACAATCTAGATCCCAGGAAGGACTGTTCACCACAGCCACCATTCCTCTAAATACCATTCCTCTAAATCAATATTTATATAATAGGAGGTCTGAACCCCCCTTCACCCCCTGCTATGCTCCTCTCTTGGCTCAGTCAACCATAAATTTTTGTCAATGCTCCATTGTCTTGGGAAGTTGGAGAATATCTAGTCTTGGCTCCTGTGAGCACATACGAGGGTAAGTAAAAAAGTATTGTGGCTAAGAGTCCAGTTCATACATGCAAGGTGTATTACAGACAAACTGTCCTTAACGTGCCTCTGCGATCAGAGGATGAATGCAAAACAGTTCTTAGTGTCTTTAGGGTGCCTTCAAAAAAGATTCAATCAAAACAGTGATTGGCTGGACCAGAGGGGTCGGCTCAGAAGATTATGGCCATTGTTGTTAGGCCTCCGAATGTGCCATCTCGATCGAGTTTTTTCAAAGGACGCAGATGATCATGGGGGCTTATTATGAGAAAATTATATTGCTGAGATAAAAGGTCAGGAAAGTTGCACCTAAGAATTTTTATTCCATTACAATGCACCTGTTCAATCTTCAAAGATATCCAGGGCTCTTCTACAAGAATTTTGTTGGGAAACCTTGCCCCATTCACCCTACAGCCCTGAACTTGCCCCGTCAGATTTATTTTTATTCCTAAAACTCAGAGAACACAAAAAAGGAACATGATTTAAGCCCCACAATGAAGACAACACTTTCATTTTGACATGGTTCAGTTGAAGAAAGCAGAATTCTTTTGGGGGTGGAGGAGGGGCGTAATTTAGTGAGATGGAAACACTATGTTCTGAAATGTATAGATTTAGATAGAGGAGATGTAGAAAAACAATAGCTTCACATTTTTATATTTTTGCTTGATGGAAGTTTCTGTGATCTTGTAGCAATACTTTTTTACTTCCCCTTGAATGGTGCTTCTTTTCCTAATCAGAACCAGAATATCCATTTTAGATGCTGCCTGTTGAGATTGATGAAGTGGTCTGATTTATACGCTAACTCTGGAAATAGAGAAATAACTATACTAACTTCAAACTCATATTCCCCAAATCTGCTTCTCTTCTGTGTCCCCTTTCGCAGTTAGTGGTATCCTCACCCTCTCAGTTACCCAGATTTAAAACCTGAGTCATTTTCAAGGCATCCCTCTCACGATGAGAATCCATGAGCTTTACATTTAAGGTGTTTCCCTCAGAAGTTTCTCCTTTCCATAGTTTAGCCACTAAGCTACAGTGCTTCTACCAGCTAACCAATGCACTGCCATTGAGTCGATTCCAACTCATAGAGACCCTATAGGACAGGGTAGAACTGTCCCTGTGAGTTTACAAGATTGTGACTCTTTATAGGAGTAGAAAGCTTCATCTTTCTCCTGAGAAGCAGCTGATAGTTTTGAACTGCTGACTTTGGGGTTAGCAGCCCAGTCCTTACCCACTATGCCACCAGGGCTCCTAAATTGCCTCTAGTCATGATTATTACTAAAATCTACTAACTAGTCTCAATTTTCTAAAAGCCCTCTGCTCTCTAATTCATTCTTCATCCTCTTGCCAGATATATCTTCCCAAAAACACAGAAGGGCTGATTGGAAACACCACTTGCAGTAGTGTTTAGTCAGCAAATATTTATTGAGCCCTTACTATGTGTCAGGCACTGTGCTTGTGTTTTAGCAATATACAGATGAATAGGAAAGACATTCTTACCCTTCTATGAGCTCATAGCTAAATGAAGATGGCATAAACAAACAATCTAATACAGTATAATAAATTTTATAGCATAGATATGGAGATACTGCAAAGTACTCCTATATGAAGAAGTAAGTGAATTTACCAGGATTGTTTTTGGGGGGGATTAAAATGAAAAGAAGGCTTACCTAGAGAAATACCATTTGAGAGAAATCTTGAAGATTAAGTAGAATTTTATTAGAATAAAAAGGAATAGAACAACAGGAGGAAAAAAAGAACATTTGACTAGGAGTCTCATAAAATCTGATTCTAGGCAGTCCCCAGATTACGAGTGAGTTCTGGCCCTAAAATCTGTCTTTAAGTTGAATTTGTAGGTAAATTGGAACCGTTAGATACCATTTGGTTTGCATCTAATGTCATTCAAATGTTTGTCTGACATATATAGTATATAATTTGTGTGACATATATACTATATATACTCGTGTACAAGGCGAGTTTTTCAGCACATTTTTAATGCAGTTTTGTGGTAAAATTAGGTGCCTTGGCTGATATTCCGGTCGGCTTATACTCGAGTATATACATGGTGTGGGGTGGTGGTGGTGGTGGTGTGTGTGTGTGTGTGTGTGTAGTGTAGTGTACCATTCTATGCATAAAAACTAAAGAAACCCTTCAAGATATGCTAAAACATCATTAACATAATAATACATTAGAAATATCATATCGTTTTACTGTGCATTGCAAAGTAGCACCCACTTTTAAAATCAGGAACCATTATTTATACTTTGAATTTTTAATAAAATAGGCTTCACTGGGTTGATTCATAATTATGAGTTGTACATAAATGGACATTTGTAACCTGTGGACGGCATATGTAGTTCTCTTTTCATAGCTATTTTTTGAACAAATAATTTATCCCTTTGAGATATACTTATAAAAATGAAAGTTTGTATTGATGACCTCTATAGTCTTTTAACCCTAATAGTCAAGGGTGTATTGATTTCCTAGAGTTAACTTTCAAATGACCACAAAGTTAGGGGCTTACAACAAGAGTTTTATCTTTTTACAGTTCTAGAGACCAAAAGGTATGGGGTTTCTGGTAAAGATGGTGACCTAGACAGACTCACTGAGCATACCCTCTACAACTAGGATATCAAAAAGAACATGTGGGGGAGAATCATAGCCATTGATCTCTGTGGAAAAGGTGAATGAGTGAGCTGGGCACACTGATGGAGAAAGGGGGGGTGGCAAAGTCCACACACAGACCTGGAGCAGAACAGCGAGTTCTCTGCTGGTCAGTGAAAACCTGAACTTCTCCTTCAGGGCAGTCTTCCCCACCTGACAACCAGAAAATAGAACAGCAAACAGGGAATTCTGGCTGGTCAACCACAAGTCGATTGGCTCCTTCTAAAGCACAGAGCAATCTCCAGCACCTAACAATGGAGCGCCCTGGCTACCCCCCACCTCCCCAGTGAACAGTGAATGGAGGAATGAAATGAAGGGCACACCCAACTAGTGCACTCAGCACTTGGTTGCCCCTCTCCTCCACATCCCTAGGGCTTAGTGTATGGTCTGAAGGAAAGGCAGGGAAATTGAGTCATCTTGGGTTTCCCCCACAGCTCCCTGGTACCTAGAGGAGACACTAGCCCACACATTCATGCGTGTGAAGGTGGCAGAGGCTGGGATGGAATCACCCACTCAGCCCTGGGAACTAGCTCTAGTGGACTTTCTGATCCCTTTGAGTGCCCTGGGACTAAAGCAGCTGAAATGACTCTCTGAGACTTTTTGTTTTGCTTTTGTTTTCCTTCTTATTTTCATTTTGCTTTGATAAATCACCAGCACAGCCCACCACAATAGGGCTGGAACCAACCCTACTACCTATACCAACTGATGTCCACAGAAATCAGCTGGAGGAAGAAAGTGTTAAGAAAAAGCAATGGGGGTGGGAGCTGAGGAAAGAAAAGAAAAAGCAATGGCCAATTCAGACTTTGAGCTTCAGGTTTTGTTGGCTTTGTCCCTTTCTTTCTAATTATCTTCTTTTGATGTTTTGATAAACCACTAATGGAGAGACACAAGACACATCAGTGAAGGCAATAATTCCTAACTCCCCACTACCCTTTGTTGACCACAAAATTTGCCATCCCTCACCCTCACAAACCCATGGCTAGCCTCCTACTGTGCACACTCTGGAAGGGTTTTTTTGGTAAGCACAGACTAGTGACTGAGAAATAGAAAACAGCTGCTGGTTGTGATGGGTGTTGGTGTGTGTATGTGAGATTTCTGTCCATTTGGTTGTTGGTTCAGTTTTGTGTGTGTGTGTGTGATTTAAATTTTTAAAATCATTTTATTAGGGGCTCATACAACTCTTATCACAATCTATACATACATCAGTCGTGTAAAGCACATTTGTACATTCATTGCCCTCATCATTCTCAAAACATTTGCTCCCCACTTAAGCCCCCGGCATTAGGTCCTCATTTTTCCCTTCCCTCCCCACCCCCACTCCCTCATG